CCGACACACACACACACACACACACACACACACACACACACACACACATATAACATTAAAAAGTAGGAGGGCTGTGGTAGAAGATGTAGTAAGCAGAGGGGATCTAAATACCATAAAACTATATTGTATAAAAATCACAAAGATTAAATGAAATTTTGAGTTAATTACACTAAACCAATGGGTTTAGGGATTGTAATTGATCCAGGATTTCTCATCCCAATCAAGGCTGCATTCCAGGGAAATCCCATTCAAGTGAAGGAAGAAACAGTTATTCATGCTAAGGTAATTGTTTCTAACTTTGCTGGTAAAGTTTGTATCCTGATTAGCTGTAGAATGTAAAAGCAGATTTCAGTGAGTTTCCCAACTAATAATAGAGCAGCCTATTGATGAGACATTTTGCTTTTAGCATATGAATATGAATACTGATATATATGCCATTTACACATATTATGAAGAAATATTGTGTCAGTTTTCTATATCTGAACTAAATATTTATCCCTGTAATAATGGCTTTGTTTATTTGATTAAAACAAAGCATTCAAGCCTGGAGAGCTCCTGAGGAAATGGGGATTACTTAGCTCATAGTTTTGGAGACAATGGACTTAATCATTGGTGGCCCCATAGATTCAAACTCCTGTGAATACCCAGTGGATTTTTCCAATATGTGGGATGCAACCAAGGTGAAGGGTTTGAAAGAAGGACCTATAGTTTTTGACGTGATTCCATATAGGAATACATTTTAGGCACATGGTTCATTCCCGTAATAACTCCCTTTCCCCATGTAGAGCTTTAATATGCACTGTCTCTAAATTGTGGCCCCATAGATTCAAACTCCTGTGAATACCCAGTGGATTTTTCCAATATGTGGGATGCAACCAAGGTGAAGGGTTTGAAAGAAGGACCTATAGTTTTTGACGTGATTCCATATAGGAATACATTTTAGGCACATGGTTCATTCCCGTAATAACTCCCTTTCCCCATGTAGAGCTTTAATATGCACTGTCTCTAAATTCTCATCAATTGAAGGTTTGTTCATTACCTAGTGTAGCTAATTCATTGATAAGCAATTGCATCAAGCTGGTTCTTCACTAATGAAAGTATTAATGCATGGATATATTCACAGTTTGGTTAGTTTAGTATGTGAAGACTCTTCAGAAGTAATAGATCACTGAGATGTGTCTTTGAATTCTATCATCTACCTATTTATTTATCTGTCTATCTATCTATCTATCTATCATCTATCTATCTCTATCATCTGTCTATCATCTGTCTATCATCTATCATCTATCTATCATCTATATCTATCTATCTATCTATATGTCTTTTATATATATATTATCTATCTATCATATATCTCTCCCATGAACGGAGCATCTTTCCTCCACCATTGCCAACATATTTCAAATAAGCAGCAATTGAATAATTGTCTAAGGCTTAAAGCTTGTGAAATTGAATTGTAAAAGTCTTTCTCTTTTAATTTTTTTCCCTCACATACTGGATCACAGTGATGGAAATGTAACTTAACACTTCCTCTATAGCAGAATTAAAGTTAATGAGGCAGATATATTAAATAAGACAGGTGGAAGAAATTTAAGATTCATGTTTTTTTAATGTGTGGGATTTAATTGCATGGGGATGTTTTACTATGAATTTGACATTCACTTCATGACATAGAGCTCTTGGCTAGGGACATTGATTTTGTGACCTAGGAAATGGAATTACTGCTTAAATAATTTCACTTACCTAAGAATAACTGGTTAAGAGAAATAATTGTTTTCATTTTCTTCATTTTTCTTCCTTTAGGCCCTTCCCTACTTTTTACTCTTATTTGTTCAGATTGTGTTTCATTTCATTCATGCTAGTTTGTAAGGGTGGCCTAGAAATCATGATGTTCCTCTATCAAACTTCTAAGTGCCAAGAGTGTGAGCAGGTGCCACCATGCCTGGCTTGTGCCACCATGCCTGGTTTATCTAGTGTTGGGCTGTTTTAACCATTCAGTTCTTAAAAAATAATGCTTCACGATTTTAAAACATTGTCTAGGATTGTGTGATGCACGTCAAGTTCCATTCGTGGCATATCTATCCAATCTTTCAAATGCTGTGCTTTTATATGTCGTTATATAAGAATAAGAATTCAGTGATATCTCATAAGAATAGATATGTATATATTATCTTAGACTGAGTACCCTAGACACAAGGCTATGACTACAATCAGCATCTTGAAGACATGTAAAAACTCCTGTGAAGGAAGAAACAAGGTGAGAGAGGAAATGAAGATGGAGAAAACGGCCTGTTAGCATGTGAGCTACAGAGTGGATAATTAGAGCTGCTGCCTGAAATGAATCAAAAATGCTGGAGTGTTATTGCAGCTCTGAGGAAGGAGCTGGTCTCTCTATCCCACACTTCTGCCATGCTCTGTTGACAGCTGGTCCTAAGGATGCTCATTTCAGGGGACTTTTCTCATGGGAAACCTGTCCAAATGCCATCCTCCCTGGACATCCACTCTGCACAGTCAATATCATGACACTCATTGGGGAACACCTTAGCGACCCAATTTTGGCTGCTGTAAGCACGTGTGGAGCTTCCATATGGGAGGTGATTCAAATATGACCAAAATATATTATATGAATTTAAAAAATAATAATAATAAAAGTGTTAAATAGATGCTTCTTAGACATAACCTCTATTTCTGCTGAGGGTGGCTTAGGTTAAGTGAGGCAAGACCACAGGAACAGGAATCTGAGACTTCTAAAGAACACCAGGAATGGACTTGTACAATTGCATGAAGAGACACGAAGTGACTTCATATTCTTCTGATGAGATCTTAGAAGATGACTGGTCGATTTTTGTGTTGCTCATTGGGAAAAGCATTGATATATGCAGAAAGAAATTTGAATTGCCCTGATTTAACTGGCCTACTAGTTACATAAAAAATCATGTCTTCTTGTTTTCTTTACAACTTTTTAAATTCTCCCCAAAAGTAGAAGGGTACCAGAGCAAAGAGGAATTTACGATTTGCTAGTCCTATCCACATGCACCAACGAAAGAAGCGAATAAGGTTTTCTCCGATTTCTGGGATTGTTTCACAGGACAGTCCACTGTCGTTGTTGGAAGTGAGGCAGAAAATGATGTAAAGTAATAGGAAATAGTAAAAATACCTGATTCCTCATAGGGTCAGACACTGAAGTTGTGCTTTCTCCCACGGATAAGAATGTTGTCTGCAGACAAACTTGTTCTACTTTTGTCTGTCGGTCTGTCTTGGACACCTGGGGAACACTTGTCCTGTGTTGAATCTAAGAGATGTGATCAACCAAATCCCACAGCTGTGTGAAGCACTCATTTCTTGGTAATTTGCATATGATATGGACACACCTCACTGCCCTGAGGACTTATAATAGTCTGTGTACACACTGAGGATTAGTTCCTATTTAGTTCCTGTCAGGACACAGCATGGACATGAGAGACAACGCTCAGCTCCTGGGGCTTCTGCTGCTCTGGTTCTCAGGTAGGGAAGGGAAGCAATGGGGTATTTTGTTATCCAGTTTGGAAAGAGCTGTAGGACGTTTTAATAGTTATCCTGTTCAGTATGTATATTTATTGTATATTTCTCCTGTCAGGTGTGAGATGTGACATCCTAATGACTCAGTCTCCATCCTTGCTGTCTGCATCTCTGGGAGACAAAGTTACCATCACTTGCAAGGCCAGTCAGAACATTGCTAGTGGGTTAAGTTGGTATCAGCAGAAACCAGGGGAAGCTCCTAAACTCCTTATCTACCATGCATCCACACTGAAACCTGGGATCCCATCAAGGTTCAGTGGCAGTGGATCTGGTACAGATTTCACGCTCACCATCAGTAGACTGGAGCCTGAAGACATTGCCACTTACTTCTGTCAACAGGGTTATAATGCTCCTCCCACAGTGATTCAAGTCATAGCAAAAACCTCATAGGAAGCTCATGTTCAAGGCTCTGCTGCTGAGCTGCATTGGCTGGTTTATGCAACCACAGCATTTCCAGGTGAAACCAATTTTGTAAAGTTTCTGGGAGGTTTTTGAAGGAAAGTCAGTGAGGCTGTTCTGCATCCCAAATCTCTCTCCTCTTAAGTCTCAGAAACACGGAAGAAACAATGCCTCTTCTGAACTAATACAGGATTCAAATCTTGGCATATGAGACACCTAGTTTTGATGTAATTGGTTTTCATTCCCATTCATCAAAAGGGAGTCCACATAATCATTAAGTTTAGGAAAGTTTAAAAGATTCTTAGTGCAGTTAATTACAGTCTCATCTACTTTCCTTAACTGTGCTATCTGTGAGGAAAGTTAATAGTACAAATCTGGGCTCTTTGGAGCTCCCATAATGCACTTCTGCTTTCACTTACTAGAGTCTACCTCTTACCCTGTGATCCTCTGGTCTGTTAGGGAACTCCAAGGTTTGGTTCCTGATGCTGTCAGCTTACTTACCTCTCTACGTGATTAGTTTTATATTGTCATCTCTCCCCAAGTATATGACTTCTAAATCTCTTGTAAGTTCCCTCATTTGTGTAAATCTATGGAAAACAATAGAAAGGGATTCTGACCTATACTGATGCTATTATATATTTTCCTAGTGCACCCAACGTTCTAAGTTCACTAAAGCTTTCATTAAAATGATGCTACTTTTAACTGAAATGATTATAATCATAACTGAGAATTGTCTGCTATTACTAAAGCTACTACATGCTCTGAAAACTGATTATCATACAGAAATATTCAAGGCATTTGAAACTGCCTCTTGATCCTAAGAATTATAAAATAAAAATGATTGTAATTTAAACAATTCATTCATCTCATGTGGTCCTCAGCATTTGCACAGCCCTAAGTGAGAGGAAGGATTTTTATGGGAGGCAAAGTTGAGTTGTGTCTCAGTCAAGAACACCTGCGACCACCTTGAGGGTTGACAGACACACGAGCAAGAGAGTTCCCAGATGCTAATAGAATAAGGCTGTTCTCTGTAGAAGGGGGTTCAACACAGATGATTAAGAACTATCTTTAGTCACGTTGTACCTCCTGCAAGACAATGGTGACAGAACAACCCAGAAAGGAAACCCATATCAGAGCCCTCCTACGTGAGCCACTGTATCGCATTGATGATGAGCATAAATCACATTGATAACAATTTGTATGGTTAGCAAAGTGAAGTGATTATTGTATATGGTGAAGTGTATAGAGTTATTCATAGACAGATAGATGTATAGATGGATGATAAATACACGAATAGATATAGATACTGATTTTAATGCATAGGAAGAGAAAGACAAACAATATCATGTGCTTCTGGATGCTACAAGTACTGGAAAAGGCACTTTGAAGATGTAAACTAAGCATATTAAGTGTCAAGATTATCCTAGATTAATCAAGTATGTCCAAAATGGAATCACAATTGCCTTTATAAATGAGTGATCCAGAGAGATTTCATTATCACAGACAGAAGAGAGGAAAGGTGGTAAACAAATGAAGACAGAGAGGGAGAGATATGTGTACCTGGAATGGAGCTGCAGCATCCACAGGGTGTAAAGGATTAAAGGAAGGTCTTCTAACAGCTATGGAGGGAGTCCTGTCTGCCCCCATCCAAAGTTGGCTCAAGGAAATTTATTCTACCATTCTACTTTCAAATAATGTGAGAGACTGATTTACTGAGGTTTTAAATTTTCTACTGCTTTGCTTCCTTTTTGGTTTGAAAAATTTCAATTTTCATACAATGTATTTCGATAACCCCAACTAAAACTGCTTACTACCCACTACTGGCTTCATGTGTCCATCCACTGGAGTCTGGTTAACCTACCAATACTCATAGCCTTAAAAAATGAATGACCCTCCCCTTTCCAGCAGCCATTATTTTCCAATAATTATTTCTTAAGATAAGGTAGTGGTTTCTTCCTCACTTTCCCATGTCTATGTGGGATTTTGTCTGCATTGACCTTCCTTGGGACTTGTGCAGCCTGTAACCATTCCTCTGAGTTCATGTAAGTAGCTGCCCTGCTGTTTGAAAAACTCTATTGCTTTGACGTCGTCTACCACCTCTGGCTCCTGCAATCCTCCTACCATTTTTCCCCAATAATCCCCGAACCTTGGGAGACAGAAGTTTGATAAAGATGTCCCATTCACAAAAAATCAGGACCTTCCTTGGGACTTGTGCAGCCTGTAACCATTCCTCTGAGTTCATGTAAGTAGCTGCCCTGCTGTTTGAAAAACTCTATTGCTTTGACGTCGTCTACCACCTCTGGCTCCTGCAATCCTCCTACCATTTTTCCCCAATAATCCCCGAACCTTGGGAGACAGAAGTTTGATAAAGATGTCCCATTCACAAAAAATCAGTCTGAAAACTCTTATTCTCTGTACATCGGTCAGTTGTGGGTTTCTGTATTAACTAGCATCTTGTTGCATAAGGAAGCTTCTCAGGTAAGATTTGAGAGATGGATTAA